AATCTGCCACTTTTATATTGCAAAATGTGTTAAATTAAAGCAGTCTTTAATTGTTTGTCCTAAACATAGCAATATATGCTTTTGAAATGTAACATGTCTTTGAAAAATAATAGTATACAGTTTATACTGTGTATCACCTTTAGCTTGAAAATACATAGATGGGTTTTTTTAATCTATAAAATAAATAAATAGACAAAAAGACACTTTATCAATCCCAAATTGGGAAATTATTTTACAGCAGCAGTGTGTTCAGGTATTAAAATATTTAAAGTTGGAATAAAGTATAAACTACATAACACAAGTATAATGCACATTGCACAGCAATCCATAAGATAAGTCCGATATTTTCATGAAAACTCCCCAGGAGACACCGACACTAACGTGGCCGAGTGGACTCCGGAGTTTGCTGCATGAGTTGCACTGTATGATCTGTGGTGTAGTGGGCTGTCACTCAAACTGAGTAGCCAATGCACCCCTGAAAGTCCCGCCCACCTGGGACATTTGTGTCAGAATCGAAAACAAAAAATGAGGGAGCGTGTGACGAAGGTAACTTTGGCACTATGGACTGACGGCTTTGGGCCGGGTAATATTGCACTTTATTAGCGTGATTGCAAAGTACAGTTAACATTGCCTTTTTGCACATAATTTATACTAATTATTGAAGTAGTATTTTTTTTAGCTGATTAAACCGTATTTATTGGAGTGTCGTCTGGCAGGTGCTGGTCGGGTCCTCGGCTCCGCCTGAGAATATAGGGGAGTTTGCGAGAGCGCCGAGAGCATGTATGCTGGTGGGGATGACAGCGGTTGAGTGTAATCAGGGTGCAACTCGGCGCTCTCGCAAACTCCCCTATATTCTCAGGCGGAGCCGAGGACCCNATCTTTGTGCGAAATTCACAATTCCATATTCGTGTGTCCATCTGGTGTCAATTTCGGGACAGTGTGACGCGGGCTTAACCATTTACTAAAACTTAAAATGCTTCAACTTTGTTTTGACTATCATACCCAGACATAAGTCAAATACAACTTATTTTAAAGGAGAACATGAGGTAGACTGTGCTAAATACTAACAATGACACAGAATTAAGACTAAATAAAGAAAATTAGCTCACAAAAAGAACACTACTGCTTGTACACTTCTTGATTTATTGTCTGTGTATTCATACTTGCACACTCAACACAGCTGTAAGAAGAGGCCACTGTGCTGACCTACAATCCTGTGCAGCCACATTATTAAAAACCTCTTCAGTGCCTTCTTTGTCTTCTCATTATGCTTCTTTTTCTATGAATTATTGACCGGTTGTCATGCGGTTTTAATCTCAAATCTTATTTTACTGTATTTACTAATTCCCTTTTTATCACCCTCCCTCCCTGCAGGGAATGTCTTGGTGAGGCCCATGAGCCATGTGACTGTCAGATGTGGAGGAACTGGCTCCAGAAGGTCACAGAGATGAGGCCTGAGGAGTGTAAGTCTGTTCCTGCTTTGTGTGTTGTTTTACTGTGTTGTGTTACCCGGGATCGTTTTAGCTACCCCTCCGTGCACTGGCCCAACAACAAGGCAGTTAACAGTATGTGTCTAATATCGTTTTAAAACACAGTGGCAGGTGTTCAGGTCATTGATATTTGTTTGTGTTGGAGGGTGTATCTGAGGACAGGTGCTGGTCAATTGTTGCTAATCAGTGTGTGCGTTTGTGTATGTGTGTGTTTGTCTGTGTGCTTGTGTGCATTTTCCACAGTGGCAGGTGTGAGTGAGGCTTTTGAGGATGCTGCTAACTGCCTGTGGCTGTTGACCAACTCAAAACCCTGTGCCAACTGCAAGTCTCCCATTCAGAAGAATGAGGGCTGCAACCATATGCAGTGTGCCAAGGTATACACGTCTGTCAGCTGTGTGTCATCATGTGTGTAGAGACTGAGGTCGATCCACAAACTATTCATCATTATAGGTTTTATTTCAACTTGTATTCTGAAATGTGGTCCGTTTGTAACTCTGCTCCCCCTCTCTGCAGTGTAAGTATGACTTCTGCTGGATATGTCTGGAGGAGTGGAAGAAGCACAGCTCGTCGACCGGAGGCTATTATCGCTGCACCCGCTATGAGGTCATCCAGCAGATCGAGGAGCAGTCCAAGGAGATGACTGTGGAGGTATTAGCACACACACCCTCAATGACTGCCCATAACAGAGGGTTTGTACAAAAGTCTTGTTTTGAAAATGCTAGTAATGTGCTTGAATTTGAATATACACATAAGTATTTAATCTTTAACATTTGAAATGAAACCATCCTGTTTTCATATTTGTTTGTTGTCTTCTTGCGTCTCACAAAGCCAGATAAGCATTTAATCATCTATGATCATCTGGTAAAATAAACAAAGTGACAATATACAGGGTTCTTACGGTCATTGAAAACCTGGAAAAGTCATGGAAATTCAAAATGCTAATTCCAGGTCCTGGAAAACAATATTTTTCCCAAAGTTTTGGAAAAGTCATGGAAATGCATCAAATATAATTTATATTTTAGCTAATCGACGAAATAGTAACACTATAATGATAATAAATACTGTATCGTATAGTAATGAAACATAGAATGGCATTTAACTGTCGAGCTGTTTTGCTGGTGAGAGATTTGAGTTGCTTTGCGTGTAGAAGCTAGTAAGCCTACTATTTGATTTGTTTTAGATAGGCACAACATGTTTCATATGCAGACCTTATTTTCCTGTTCCATGTTCAAATAAACCATTTTCAGTGGTACCGCTGAGAAAGAGTCATTGTTTTGGTCATGGAAAATTAGGTAAAGGTCATGGAGAAGTCATGGAAAAGTCATTGAAAATCATTGGGGAAAAAGAGTATGAACCCTGAATATACATTAATTGCTGCAGGTATAAAGGAACGCAGTAATCTTTGTTTTCTTCGAAATGTCATTAAAAAAATATATGGTTAAGGTTTTTTGTCTGGAAATTGTTGAAATAGGTTTGATTTTTACTCTTGAAAAGCTGTACAAACCCTACCAAATATATTCACACAGACATTCTCTTACCTGCTCAAACTCCCACCTACAAGAACTACTCCATCAGCTGTCAGATGAATCATATTATTGAAGCTCATGTTCTCGTGCCCTACAGCATTTAATGAAGTCACACACGAAGCCATTTGAGTGAAATGGAGCTGCTTTTTGTTACAGGCAGAAAAGAAGCACAAAAGTTTTCAGGAGCTGGATCGTTTCATGCACTATTATACTCGCTTCAAGAACCATGAACACAGTTATAAGGTAATATACTCTCCACACATAACACTTCGTATAAAACACATCTCAATCTGATGATCATTACATATTGGACATGTGTTCTCCCACCTGGTAGTTGGAGCAGAAACTACTCAAAACAGCGAAGGAGAAGATGGAGCAGCTGAGCAGAGCCTTCATCTGCCGTAAGCCTGTCTTCTACGTGTTTGGGTTTCATTCATTATGTATAAAGCATTAATCCTATCTGCATTATAATAATGGCTCGTTCTGTTTAGGTGAAGGCACTCCTCCGGACACACGGTTCATTGAGGACGGTGTGTGTGAGCTGCTGAAGACACGGCGGGTCCTGAAGTGCTCTTACCCTTATGGCTTCTTCCTGCAGCCAGGCAGCACCCAGAAAGAGATATTTGAGCTCATGCAGGTAATCTAAAACACATCTGTGACATGAACAGGAATAACCACTTTAAAGCCCCTCCAGTCAGCCCTAAAGACGGCTGTGTTATTTAGAAGAGGTTGGCTTAACTTGTTAGGTCACACACACGGTACTTTTTAATGATTTTCTGGCAGTCTGAACATTGGGGTTTTTCTAATACACAGATTTGTATGTTGCCCAGTTGGTGATGGTAGGAGACCGTTCAAGGGGGCAACAAAATCATTATTATTCCATACGATCATTCACAGGAAATCCCCCTGTAGTTGTTTCAATACTGTATTTACATATCTGCTTACTGTTTGTTTAATATTCTTCACACATTTGAAGGGATATCGCCAATGATTTGTTTCACAATAGTTGGCAAAATACTTTAATAGAAAATGATTAGTGGATAAATCTTTGCAGCTCAAGACATTTTGCACAAAGCAGTTTGGGCTCCTGTATAACATCCCTGTGGAAATGTCTTACCTTATTTGTCTGTGTTCTCAAAACAAGAAATGTCATTTGCAACGTGATGTGTAGAAGTATTTTTATTGTACTTGAAATACTTATCCCACATTTTTTTCATAACTTGGTTCACCTGCAGTAGCTTTACGATTCTTCTTCGTACAGACTTTAACGGTAAGAGTGATTGATATAAAGTATAGTACAGCAGATCGTTGCAAATATCTGAAGCACCAATGGTCCAATCCCTCTATTTATCAAACACTTTTCAGGCTTTAAACTGAATGAAATATCCCGTGAGAAAAAGAATACTCAAAACATAGTCAGCTTATATCTCGTCACTTCAAATATCAGTGGCAGATCTCCGAGCCGGTGAAAAGTTAACAAGTTGTTTGTTATCAGACGGACCTGGAGATGGTTGTGGAGGATCTGGCTCAGAAGGTGAACCGGCCGTACCTGAGGACTCCCTGCCACAAGATCATCAGCGCGGCCCGTCTGGTGCAGCAGAAGAGGCAGGAGTTCCTGGCGTCAGTGGCCCGAGGCGTCGCCCCCAACGATTCTCCGGACCCTCCCCGCAGGAAGTAATGACAAACACACTCGCACACACACTGAAATACAAAGTGTAAATATGTGAATTCAAACTGAACTTTAATACCTCCTTCATGTGTGTTTGTTTCAGTTACCCTGGAGGATCATGGGATTGGGAGTATCTCGGCTTTGCTTCACCTGAGGTAAAACCAAATCCAAATGCTGTGCAGCTTTTTCCTATTCATGCTGCAGGGAACTCACTTTACTCATGTGTTACTTTTGTGTGTTAAGATGGGGAGTCGTCACTCTGTACTGGGAGCGGGAGATCAGAGAGAGAGACAGTCACAGGTAAAGCACCACACAGTACTACATGCATGGGCTACAGGCGTTCTCTGTGCTGAGGATTGTGAACCTTACAGTAAACAGACTTACTTTTAGAGTTGGTTGTGTGGTAACCCAGTTTGAACCCCTCTCTGCAGGATTACGCTGACATCCAGTACCGACGCCGACACCGACCGCGGCGCAGAGGAGACATGCTGAGTCTGCACAACCTGAGGAGCAGCAGCAACACGCCGGAGACGAGCCGGAGGAGCGACAGCACAGGTCTGCCCCGTTGCCCTCTATAGATACCATAGATTTAATGATTTATTTTACGTACTGATTAAAACACATACATCACTTCACTGCAATCAATATATACATTACAAATCACAGAGGATGAAAACCCAATAAAGCCTAGAGGGGTCGTCCCATTGTGGTGCTCCAGTATAACACCAACACCACAAGATACAATAGCAAGTGCAGACAATCCAATCAGCATTAGCTGGCTGTCAACATGCTCTTATTATTTTGATCATAACAAGTATTACTTCACATGGTACCGTAAGTTTTCCTTTATGGCCATTTTACATTTTCTCTACGGCTTATTTGGTTTCGGGTTGTGGTCAGATTATTTCAGAGAAGTGTGTTTCAGTTCACAAAATGTCTTTATGATGTTTCAAGGTACTTCTTGTAAACTACCAATAGTAAGAAATAACAATGCATTCATTATTTTGGCACCAAGTCTTTTATAATTAAGTGAAATAGCAGCATCTTCATATACAGTACATGACGCACAGTGCAAGAACTCTGGGTCATAATCCAGCTTCATCCTTCGCCTCCTTTTATACATTTTCACTTGTCAGCACGGTAGACAAATAGAAAATGGGATTTAAATGCTCCATAAGTCTGGTCTTGTCGTAGCGCGCGAAGGCATTGATCACGTGATCACAAAGCAGTCCTTGTGTTAAAGCGGGTAGGCAGCAATGGATTCTCCAGATGGTTATTATTAATGTTTCAAATTTGTATAAATGTTTTTATATCCGTGTTTGAACACTCAAGGCAAATACTGACCTGCACATGGGTTTGTGGGTTTTCTAAAAGGACTACGTCAGGTATTGAAATGTGTTCCTATTCATATATTTACATGAATCCATCCAACTTTATTTGTATAGCACCTTTCATACAGGTTAGTGCAGTTCAAAGTGCTTTACACGTGACAGACAAGCTGAAATAAGATGGATCAAGTTTGGCCTTTTAAAAAAATATATATATATATACAGAACATTCTGAAATCAAAATGAGAGAAATACAATTATTTTTTATATTTTATTATATTATATAATATTATTAAATGTAATAATACTAGTTAAAGTAGTAAAATAACCTAACATGAAATATAATCAAATTGTACGACAATAAATCATGATCAAAGTTTTATAATTTTCTATAAATAAACCATAATTCATCTTAAATAATAAGGCCTGTCAGAATAGGTGCTATTACTATAACCATGAAATCCTTTTCTTACAGTTTAATCTAAATGTGATATTTTTTGTTCCAGAAGGTCCAGAGAGGAGTGAGGGCCGCCGGAGAGCGCTGGGCTCGCTGGATGAAGACGATCCGAACATCCTGCTCGCCATCCAGCTGTCCCTGCAGGAGTCCCGCAGAGAGAGAGGCCTGGAGGGAGGCATGGAGGGGAGGGTGGAGCTGGGGAGGGTGGAGCTGGAGAGGAGGCCGGGTACCTCAGGAGACTTGGGGGACATTTCTTTGCACTCCCTCAACACGGACGGTCCTCCAGGAGCCAGAGGCTTCCCCATGTCGCTCCTTGACCCCCCTCGACCCCCTAACAGGACAGACTCCACCTCCCAGCCTCCCGCGTCCAACTCCCTCCCCCTCCCGCCCCCACCTCCCTGCCTCAGTGCAGAGCTGCTGGAGCTGGGAGACAGCCTTATGAAACTGGGGAACATAACCACTCCGTATGACCTCGACACACACACTCAGGAGCAGCTGTGCTCTCTCCACACATACACCCACATCGCTGTTCCCTACAGCGACCCTGCGTACAGCGACTGCAGCCACAGAGCGGAGCTGCCCGCTGCGTACCGGCTCGACCACATCACCATCTCAGACCCCGCCTACTGCCACACCAGTGCTTATTTATCCGAGGCTGAACACGCGGCCTCCTGCTCACATGAACGCTCACATGAACGCTCACATGAACGTACCCAAAACCCCTCCCGTCCTAGCTCCTGTAGCCGGGAACACGCAGCCTTGTACGACAGCGCCCCAGCACCAGACAGCTCTTACGCCCCGGGCCCTGAACACAGCAGCTCTTACTCTCAGGAGCGTCCCACCACCTACGCTCTTGAACGCCCCAAATCAGACCCAGTGCCGCCCGCCCTGTTGTGCCTCCCGTCTCCAGAGCTCGAGCCGGAGCTGATGTTCTCCCCGGTGATCCCTCCGGGGGGGGCGTTCACCCCCAGCGACCCGCAGAGTCTGGAGCCGCTGGACCCCACAGCCAGCGCCCAGCTGCTGGACAACATCATGGCCTGGTTCAACAACAACATAAACCCCCAGAACAACCCGCAGAGCCTCGCCCTCATCCCCTCCCCGCCCACCACAGAGACAGACTCCTCCCCCGACACACACACTGAGACTGAGTCAGAGGCCTCCAGGGACCCCGCCCCTGTCTGGCTGCCCCTGGAGGGCGGGCCAGTGGACGGGGCGGGGGGGAGTCCTCGTCTGGGTGCTGCGGGGGCGGAGGTCCCGACGACGTTGAGGCCCAGCACTCTGGAGCTCGACAGCAGAGCGACTGGAGAGCAGGGGGTGGACGCAGGGTGTGTGGCTGACCTGTCGCTGGACGAAGCGCACACACACCCGTGCTCACACTCCCAACGTGGAGACAGTCCCACACACACGACCCCGGACACAGAGAGAGACTTAGACCTCGTCCTTCAGTTAGAGGGGGAGCAGTCGCCTGAGGAGTGGGAGGAACAAGTGCACCTAGTGTGACAGAACAATGTGGAGAGAGAAGGTTAAGACAGGGAGAGGTGGAAGAAAGTCAAAGACTGCGGAAAACAGGGGAAATAATGGCGATGCCTCGATGAAAGATGTTCTTAGGAGTGTTTACTGTGTGTATTATACTGTATCTAGAGAGGACACAAAACCCTGCAGACTTTCTTCAGTTACGATGATGTCATATGCAGTTTGATTTCACTTTTTTTATTTTTAAAGTGCTTTTGTCTGCTCTAAAACAGACAAACTATTAGTGTTGAATTGCAAAGTACATCAATGGAAAGCTACTGATATCATAACACATAAAATGCTGCACATGTTTTCTTCCTTTATTTATTCCCTGTAGTTTTCTTCTCTGTTTGTTCAGGGTGAAGTTTTGGTGCTGATCATGCTGAAATCCAAACTTGCCTGGTATTCTCACACCTTTTATTATTGTCACACCGACCCTATCACGAGCCTCCTGCAGCCAAATACGATGTAACCATGGAGCTGGTTGAGCGTACTGTACAATCAGAGGGCCTGGTTCTGATGTTTGGACCTTCTTGCACACTGTGCCTGCTTTGTTAGGGAGCCAACACACTGCTGCTGTTTGGTAGGCTGCAAGGAACCAGGATACTCTCTCCTCTGCTCTTTGTTTGGGAGTTGTTGAACCCCCTATTTTTCTTTCTCACTGCAACACCCAGTCTTTATCACAAATGACCTTTCATTCACAGTTCTGTGTTTAACACCTGCTTTGGCTCAGTTTTCAATGTGCATAATTACAAATATGTTATAATGATTTTTGCGTCAAAGTTGACATGGAATACATTACGGACAATTAAGTTTTACAGCATCATCATATAAATATATTTTTCTAATTAAAAAAAAAATTGATTAAACTAAGATGCTGTAATTTAAGTCTAGAGTCTGACACTACAGTGAGTCACATATTCAAACACCTTTTTATGTTGAAAAGTAAAATATATCAAGTCAGTAAAGACTAAAGAAATTCTTTGTCAACAGTCTTATGATGTGGATTAGTTAATTTAATCAACATCTGTAGAATTGAGTTTTCTATAGATAATCACGCAAAAGCAACCCTTTAAATGTAGTGTTTACCACAGGAGTCATTCAGTCTTTGAAAAGCTTTTATAAAAATGACTAAACGACATATTAAAAAGTGTAATTGAGAGGAGACGACTACACTTTGTTCATTGAGCCAAAGCAATCAGACAATATTGTTCATGGAAACAATCGTCTAGTTTGTTTTGATCATATCTATTCCACTGCTGATGGCGAGTCCAGTGTGCTGTTTAGAGATGGGAAATGGGTTGGGGTTTTTTTTTTATTTCCTTATTCCTAAGCATAGAGATGATTTTTTTCCAGTTAAGACCTGAGTCGTTGGGTCTGTGTGCCTTTTTTGTTCGAGTCGTATTTGTTTATTTGTTAGTATTTATTAGTGTCATTAATTTTGAAACATGCTAAACACACCACTGTGGCTGCTGCCGTACACTGAGATGCACATTCGTTTTATTTATCCTCAAACCTGAGATTTATTATATTTTACCTTATCCCCGGAGAAAAACTGCTATGACACGAAGTCAAATTATTTCAGAGTTTCCCCTTGATTTAACAAATCCTTTGATCTCAACGTTGTTCAAATGTAGTTGGCCTTTGACTTTTCTTGAAAAGCCAAGTAGCACTCTGAGACCTGGGATGTCACTTTAAACTTCTATCTTAAAACTTTATTACCCAACTGTAATGTTTACACGAGAACTAGACACTGCCTGTTGTGTTGAGATATGATCTGGTGCTCTTGGGACTGAAATGAAAATGGAGTGTTTTTAATCATACTTTCACGGCAGGACACGCTTATGTAAAGATATCCTGATTTTGTTGAAAACCGAGTGTGATATGCAATCAAAAATGCATAACTTATAATAGAGAGTTTGAGTTTTAAGCTTGTTTGAGGTCTAGAGTGCTCTATGACGTAACACAAACCCCTAAAATATCACCTTTTCCTCTCTAAACTGTGAAGGTGCTGACAGAGACATTTCATTATGTGAGGAGAGCTGGTGTCACCCAGAACATTTCAACATTGTTTCCCGAGGAATGGTTTAATCAACATTTATTTTAGGTTGCATTGTTGCACCAGGATACACATTGGAAGAGACTGGGGTCTTTTTAATTTGCACACGCATGCTGTTGATGTGTTGCACTAATCCAGTGCAAGATGTGGAGGACTGATGAGGGTGGCTTTTATTATTATGATGATATTTTCCTTTTACATTTTCTTGATTAAGAATTGGATTTATGGGGTCAAGGGAATGGTCCTGTGCCAGTTTGTACTCCATAAATAATGTTTTATATTTGAAAGATTCCTCAACCAACCACTACAGAGTTTGAAAAAAAGAAATTGCACTTCATAGATTATACTTGATACATTCCCAGTCAGTCCATAAGAGAGATGTGATGTGTGGCCAAAACTGTAAATGAAAGTGTCAGTGCAAAGTTTACTCAATAAAAACAACTGAAAGTGTCTTGCTCTATGTTTTTCTTTCTGTGACGGTGATTTCCAAAACCATCAACAAAAATCTGCGAAAGAGAGAATATTCTCATTAGCATCATAAACCTAATGTGTTATAGCTGTACGGCTGCCATCTGCAGTCATTTTCTACTTGTAGTACCATGCCAAACATTGCATATAAGTCATCTAAAAAGTAACATTGAGTATGTATCTCAAAACATCATGCCAGGGCTGCAGACAAAATTAAACAATATGTATTATAACTATATATATATATATATATATATTAAACTACAACACCGACAAACTTGCTATACATGTATCAATATCTTTCCACAGCTCCTACTTAAAAACATTAAATGTAAATCTTATTTAGACCTACCTCTTCTCCATAGCTCATGGCACTTTGTAGATTGTTGCTTTAAATTGTCTATTATTTTTACTACATGGCTGCTATTATTTAATTATTTTTAATTGTACCTTCTTATTTGTATTTTTACCTATTTTATGGTTTGAGCTGAGTGATTTTTTTGTGTTTTACTCATTTATATATTTCTCCTACAGCACGTAGGTCTGGAGGTTTTAAAACTCTTTACAAATATAGCTGTATTGTATAAAATCATGTTTCAGGATTTAATTCACATAATGAGCAATTATTTCCAAGTGAAACTAGGATAAAGTTTACCTTGAAACCATGCTTGAAACACGTTTAAAAAAAACCTCCTTATTCCATGGTTTTCATCATGATGTTCTCTCCTCCACCGTCACGCGGCGCTGTTGTTTTCTCTTGCGGTTTCCACCTTCGCTGTCGCTCTTGTGATGACGTCGTATCAGCGGGCCCGAAACGTAACGCATACAACAGCGGCGGCCTGTGTTTTCACTCGACTGCTGTAATTTTTACCTTTTGTGGAGGATTTGTCTCTACAGTCCATCACAATCATGAAACTTGTCAGGTAAGTGATCGTGAAAAATATCTGTTTATCTAATGCTGTGATGAGAGGCGATGAAAGCGAAGCGGAGCTGACGGATGGAGGAAGATGTTTAACCGAGATCAGGCGGGAAGAAGAAGAGCGGAATGAATGGAGGCTCTTTGGTGTTCAATGACTGCTGGCTCTACAATAAACTCACTAAAAATACACACTCACAAGCCTAGTGTTTAACTAACTAGTAAAACGTGCATTTCAATGTGAAGTCCTGCAGGTATCATAGCAACAATATTTGCTAACTAACTTGATCAGACAGCGACATAAAGGTTAGCTTGTGTTAGCTCACAGGCCCGGACTGTATTTGTTTGCAAAGTTATTTTTTAATACATTCACTGATATTATTTTTGAAAGCATAGCCGAAGTCAACTATGCATTTAGTTTGTTAATGTTACTTATCTAATAAAAGGAGTGGATTTGCTATGTGAATCTCACCCTGCAGAGTGCTTTTGTTTTGGTGCTGAATGCTACACAGCCAGTGGCTAACTTTGGCTAGTTACTGTAGCTAACTTCAGGCTAGTCTTTTGTTTTACACGATGTATAACGGTGAATTAACATAAATCTTAAACAAAAGAGAGAGGGCTATGTTTAACTTAAAGATATGTGTTCAGACTGTAATCTTGTTTTAATGTTACTCGCAGGTTTTTGATGAAACTCAGCCATGAGACGGTCACCATTGAACTGAAGAATGGCACCCAGGTCCATGGCACCATCACAGGTAAGATCCATCTGCTGCTTTATTACAATGTGTTGGCAAGCCTCCCTCACAGGGAACCTGCAGTCAATTGTGTTATTAACGTCATGACGCACTTTTAAGATTTAAATTGATCCATTGTTCTCCCACAGGTGACAATACATATAACCAGTACCCAATTAATTAGGATTACCTCCCCTGAATTAATGCACGGCAATCCAACGGTGCTTCTTTACATCGTACCTCCGTTGAAGCTTTATTTTGTAGTTGTTGTAACTGCTTTAGAAGGGCCTGATTGAACTTAAAACACCCCCCAACATGATCATTTGTATATCAACTACGGAAATGTGTAAGCTTGAATTCTTGAAAACAAACTTTTAAACATGTCTTAACAGTAAATTAACAAAGAAAGTTAAATAAAAAATTGCCATTCTATAAAGGCTTAACTATATCAAAACAACCTTTTTCAAATGCTCTCACAACCTGTGCAGTATGATCTAATTTCATTACTTCACAAATGCATGTAGTCTTACTAAATAAAACTTAAACAGTACTTTCTGTGATGTTTATCACGCCTTTACAAGTGTGAGACTGTTTTGATGGAAGTGTTTTAAAGATAGTTTTGCTGTTGATAAACAGGCACTCATTTACTTAAGTTGATTTAAGAATCTTCCCCAAGGTTTAATTCTTTGTTCACTGCGGAACCATGCACACTTTCCTCTAGGTAGCACAGAGGGAATTATTAAGGAACAAATGGTTGTTTTTAAACTACTTAAAGCTGTTTGATTGTTATTACAATATATGCTTCTACAGTTGTACTCTGATTATCACTTTATAGTTTCATGTAGTACTTTCCTCTCGGTTTTGTAAATAAGAATGGGTGTTGATTTGTCCATGTTAACTTCAAGGTTTGTTTTCTTTCTTTTGCCCCATTTTAGGTGTCGATGTGAGCATGAACACCCACCTGAAGGCGGTTAAAATGACCCTGAAAAACAGGGAGCCCACTCAGCTGGAGTCGCTGAGTATCCGTGGCAACAACATTCGCTACTTCATCCTTCCCGACAGCCTCCCACTGGACACCTTGCTGGTTGACATCGAGCCTAAAGTCAAGTCAAAGAAGAGAGAAGCAGGTGAGAAATGTGGAAACATTGAGGTGTTAAGACGAGAGATGGAGCATTATGTGTGGCCTCATCTTGTATTTATATTGTTCCTGAGCATTGGAGGTGTTAAAGTTAAAGGACATGTCTACAGTTGGATTTGCAAAGAACCAGTGTTTCTATACGTTCTGTCGGTTTGTTTGAGCTTAAACCAGTTAGATTTTTTTGCAGGCAGACTAACTCAGCACTTGTCTTTTTTATAATAAAAACAAGCTACATCAGCAACCTGTGTCACAGTTTTAAATCCAACTTGTATAGCACTATAAATGAACAAGATGTCAATATGATCGATAATAAACAGACTAACCATGCCACTAGCCTAGGGTAAAATGTCAGTCCTCTGTGTGACAAAATATCAAACCTGTTTAAAATTGCAACAGACCAGCCCCATCCATCGTGAAATGTGACTGGGCGATTTCTCAACCTTTCTATTGAAATATTGATGTACAGGCCTTAATTACCCACAGCTGATCCCCTTTTATTTACGCTGACCTAAGCAATGAGTCTTTGTCATTATTCTTTGGCTAACATCAATTTAATTGTTGACTGCTCTCTGGTTAGTGAGTACTTATTTGGTTCTTAAGAAACTAGAATAATGAAATCCTAATAATTTGTTTGATGTGAAAAGGCTCCATTTGTTATTGACTAAGTTTGTAGAGGAGGCATTTTCTCCCTAAACATAATCAAGACAGACGTGACACATTTATTTATGATATTTTAAGCAGGTATTCTGAAATGGATGAAGATCTATTTTGAATTTGCTTGTTTAAGTTGTCTGGTACTCGGCTCTTCTCTGAGGTAGCATTACAATGAAATAGGATAGCTGTATAAGATATACATCGAACATGATTTTTTTAAACGTATCAACTTATTTGTGTTTTGGTTGCTTGTCTCTCGCAAACTGTTCCCTCAGCTTCAGACCTAACATATTTTGTATACGAAATGGACTTGATATTCAGTTATATGATTCCTATACTGCTATCCTTACACGTTGGTGAATATTTGACACGTGTTTGACCCTCCTGTGTGTTCTCCTCAGTGGCTGGACGGGGAGGAAGAGGCAGAGGAAGAGGCCGCGGCAGAGGAAGAGGAAGAGGCCGGGGCGGCCCGAGGAGATGATCACCTGGCTTTACGTCTGCTGGCCCCCACCCCTCTGTTTGTACAGGAATCTTTTTTTTTTCAGAAGAAACATTTTGTGAATTTCCATGTGTTTTGTTTTTTGTTCCTTATTTTGTACATTAAAATCCTTGAGGAGGATAAACCTGACTCTGTGTGTCATTGCAGCGTTTGTAGCAGGGGTTATTTATTTTGGTTTGTCATTTGATTGTTTACGAAAAATTATGTTTTCATTACACTGAATAAAGAACCTTTGCATTCAAATGAGTATTCTTCTCGTGAAGATCAGAGAAAAGAAATTCTACACTAACTGAAATGATCCACATGTTGAGTTTGTACCCTTACAAGCTGAATTGCTTATGGCTTAACTGTACTCATAAGAATGCAGCACCGTTTTTTTATTAAATCAAATCAAACATTTTGGGTAACTTCTACGTTTGAATATCAGAATCAAGTGTTTTTCCACGTACGTTTTACACATACAAGGAATTTGGATTGGTGTATGGTGGCAAACACAAGCTAATAAGTTGTAAGAGAAGGTACAAAATGTAACGATTATAAAAAGAATTATTAAAAGAATATACATATTTAACATATAATAATTATGTACACCAATTATGAAGAAACAAAAAAAACCTATTACAATTAATATATAACAATCTGCAGTACCCTATTGTTTAAAGTGGAGAGCTGGGCGTATTTTTTATAGCGGTAGGGATATATTATATAGACATTTGCAAAAATATTAAGTGAATATTTAAGGTTATGTAGAAGCACTTAAATTCTGAGGCTTTTTTGTTGGTTGTGTTTGCAACAGAACATGCAGATATCACCATCTAACCCGGAAGTAATCTATATAAGCCGTCCATCCTCAAATATATGTATATATATTGTTATTTTGAAGTTGCCTCTTCTGTATTTTCAAAAACGTTGTATTATAGTTAAAATGGGTAAAAGGCTTCCCGGGTTAATAAGTATCTCTCGTTTCAGTCTAAATAGCGCCGCTACAGCCCACTCACAAACTCGTCAGTCCCTTTTATATATACAGTCTATGGCAGGGATCACCAACTACATTTGTCCAAGGGCCAAAATGTATCCAATTGAATAGACACTATCGCGGGCCAGCGATTTTTATATAGCCCAGAATTTTGAAGTTGTTGACTGAATACATGCTCTGAAAGTAATCAGAATACAGTTACAGTTACGTATCTTAAAAAACTATTTTGAGTTTTTACAAAAGTAAACATATTCAGATTACTTTTAGAATACTTTATTTTTCCATAACAGATGGGTATGTTTTGGTGAACAGGAGACACTTATTTTACTGTTTTAATGGTTTATCAAGAACTCAAACACAACATCTTGGTGTCATTCTGGCAGCTCTCTCATCTGCACCCCGCATAAAAAACCTCACCCGGACTGCATTCTTTGTAATGTCTTAAAACCTTTCCTTGGAATATGTTATGAATTGTAAGGTGTCCTTGGGTGCAGCGCTGTGCAGTGTGCACACAGTTCTGCCGGTAATGAATATTACATTTTGTGAGGAATCTTTTCCACCAATAATTCCAATAAGTATTCCAAAATATATTCACTTCAGGTTTACGAAAGTAACTGTTATCAGGTTACTCGTTTTTCAAATGTAAAGCCAGCTGAATACAGTTAGCCTACTGGATTTGTGTATTCTGATTACGTAACGACGTTACATGTATTCCGTTACTACCCAACCCTGCTTCTTGGCTACTGTCCTGCAGCTCCTGCCTCTCTGTTGGACTCTGTCGCAGCGGGGCTACTGCTGTATGGGATTAGTTTTGTATCATAAAGATAAAGCAACACTTTCTCAGAATAAAGCAAAACTATGAGTTTAAAAGAAAAAAAACAAAGTCAAGCAAAATAAAATACATTTCAAAAATAAAACTATAAGTTTGCAAACAAATCATTTGTGTAATCATGTAAACTATAAGTAATTTTTCTTGGTTTTAACATAGGTTTTTGTTTGCAGTTGTTGTTTCTTCTTTCTCAATGATCAGACTTTTGCTCTCGCTGCAGCTTTCTCGTTTGCGCTCTCTCGTTTTTTGTTTGAGATTTTGACACAAACATCCCAGGTGGGCGGGACTTTCAGGGGTGTGTCCCCATTGGCTACTCAGTTTTTGAGTGACAGCCCACTACACCACAGATCATACAGTGCAACTCATGCGGCAAACTCCAGAGTCCACTCGGCCACATTAGTGTCGGTGTCTCCTGGGGAGTTTCATGGACATATCGGACTGCTGTGCATTATACTTGTGATGTGTAGTTCATACTTTATTCCAACTTTAAATATTTTAATACCTGAACACACTGCTGCTGTTAAATAATTTCCCAATTTGGGATTGATAAAGTGTCTGTCTATTTATTTTATAGATTAAAAAAACCCATCTATGTATTTTCAAGCTAAAGGTGATACACAGTATAAACTGTATACTATTATTTTTCAAAGACATGTTACATTTCAAAAGCATATATTGCTATGTTTAG